ACTCATGTTCCCCTTCTCAGTTTCAAGTAATCTTGTTCTTCTCTTCTCTGTATTTAGTAGCAATTGGGCAAGCTGCGCAGAAGCCTTGCATTGAGGCCTTTGGAGCTGACCAGTTTGATGTGCAAAACCCCGAAGAGCGCAGATGCAAGAGCTCATTCTTCAATTGGTGGTTTTTCGGGGTGTGTTCGGGCACCCTCATAGCCCTTCTCATTGTAGTTTATATTCAAGATTACTTGAGTTGGCGCCTCGGATTCGGAATCTCTTGCATTTCCATGGCGGTCTCTTTAGTCCTTTTCTGCCTCGGAACTTCCACTTACCGGTATAAAATCAAAGCAGAGGAGAAAAAGAATCCATTTGCAAGGATTCTTTGTGTTTATGTTGCAGCACTAAAGAATTGGCAAGAAACTACTCCGATAATAGAAGTTGAAGAGGGAAATTACGAAAACACATCCCAAAAAAATTCTGATCAATTCAGGTACATATAATTTGAATTTTTAACAGCATAATTTAAGAAAATGCAACTAATTAACGAAGTTACTCTAATGTTTTAGATTTCTTCATAAAGCCCTGCTTGCAAGAAAAGGCACTGAAGAATGTGGGACAATGTGTAATATTGATGACATTGAAGAAGCTAAGGCAGCACTGAGACTTATCCCAATATGGACTACGTGCTTAGTGTATGCAATTGTGATTGCACAATGCCCTACCTTCTTCATCAAGCAGGCAGCCACAATGGACAGAACTATCTTTTCTGGATTCGAATTCCCGGCAGCGTCTCTTCGAGCCTTCACCATCGTCACCATTCTCCTCCTTATCCCTGTCTACGACCGTGTCTTTGTTCCTATGGCAAGAGCCTTCACTGGAAAACTTTCCGGCATCACAATGCTGCAGAGGATTGGAACCGGAATGCTTTTATCAGCCATGTCTATGGTAATTGCTGCCCTTGTTGAAACAGAAAGGCTTAGAATTGCAAAAGAGCATGGAATAGTGGATACAAATGAGACTATTCCAATGAGTGTGTGGTGGCTTGTTCCGCAATATGTGTTGATGGGTGCTGCAGGTGTTTTCACCAGAGTTGGACTGCAGGAATTTTTCTACGAGCAGGTAGGCAAGGACATGAAGAGTGTGGGTTTGGCGCTGTATCTAAGTGTGTTGGGGGTGGGGAATTTTGTGAGTAGCTTTCTTGTTTCCATAGTTGAGAAAGCAGGTGGGTGGTTGTCTGATGATTTGAATCGGGCACATCTCAATTACTTCTATTGCTTACTTTTTGGGATTAATGTTGTGGGACTTCTTGCATACGTGTATTTTGCTAAATCTTACATACATAAAAGAAGTGCAAGTTGAAAATGTAATTAATTTGGGAAAGATGAAAAATAATTTGAGAGAATCAATAAAAAAAACCACCATTGAAATAATTTCGTACGGTTCTCTACGATATCCTTAG